TGAATTAATATTACAGTCTCAAATTCAGTGGGTGATCTATTTTAACATGTTGAAGTTTGTATGTGAACATGAACCAAGTCGTATCATTACCAGAACTAAAGCACAGCTGCCTAACAAATCTACATCTGAAATGTTGCCATGCTGAGTCCATCCATTGGGGTTATGCAGTGACTTGACTTTTTTTCTCTTCTGTTACTATTTGAATGTGCTGCTGCTGCTCTCTGTTTTTGCCAAATGCAGGATGTCCCATTCATTGCAAAGCATTTCTGACAAGTCCTGCTCAATTGTCTCCCTGTTAGTGTGGTTTTTATATAGGTTTAATCAGGGCTTTTTTTGTAGAAAAAGCCAAGCAGGAACACATTAGCAGAATAGGCCACACCCAATGGCAGAAACTCATTAGCGTATAAGGCCACACCCCCCATGTTGCCACACCCACCTTTTGCTTCTTATTCTGTTTACTTTGTTGTCAAAACCATGGGCTTTTTTTGTAGGTCACACACCCCTAATGTAGCCAATCCTAATGAGTTTCTGCTGTTAGGTGTGGCCTATTATGCTAATGAATTCCTTTTTGCTGGGTGTGGCCAACTCAGGAGCAAGCCGGAACTCCGTTCCTGTGCGTTCCTGCCCCAAAATAGCCCTGGGTTTAATTAAGTATTGGTTATTTTTCTCACTGCATCTTAATCTCCCTGCTTTCCAATTCCCTGTTGATACCAAGTTGGGGAAACATTGGTTTGTGTACCTTCTCAGCAACTAGTTTTTCCACATATAAAAATTACATCACAAATATACATCTGTAAATTTGTGTTAATGTTGATGGTAAAACAAATTGAATTAAAGGATATTGTTTTGTTATGAGGCTTGAATGCATAAAAATGGCTATCTTTTCTAGTTTGATCTGCAGTGGGGAGAAACGTCGACGTGAACAGGAAAGCAAATATATCGAAGAACTGGCTGAACTGATATCTGCGAACCTGAGTGACATTGACAATTTCAATGTTAAGCCAGATAAATGTGCAATTTTAAAGGAAACTGTTAGACAGATACGGCAAATAAAGGAACAAGGCAAGATATTCTTAACTATAAAGGAAGCTCTGTATTTCATTATGTGTTAATTTTCATACATTTGGCCACAATGAGTTAAATCTAGCCAACCACCAGTGTAAGGCGCTGCCAGATGTGAATTTCCCTAAAGACAGTTTTTGGGGCTCAAAAGGGATTGTTGGGGGAACTAGGAATGTATTTGTTACGTTTCTGTTCTCTGTGAAGCATTTAATGACTGCCTGTGATCATTGAGCTTAGCGTTATTAAAAAAAAATACTGCAAGTACAATTTTGGACTGGAACGAACAAAGTGGGGGATCAATTGATACAATTATAAATGGAATTTCTAATCTTCGCTATCTTTGTGTTAGCTACTTGACTCATCTTCAAGACCCAAGTTGTTATTTGTAGTGAGTTAATGAATCGGTTTTAGGGTCACATAATCCCTCCTCTGCCCATTCTGTGTTCCTCCCTTGCTTCCCTCCTTAGAATGTAACTATGACGGGCCCCTGTTTCTTCCCTACTGTGAGGCAGATTTTCCTGCCAAAATGCTGTTCCCCACCCTGAATGAGCAGCCTCTTAGTAGTGTATTTTAATAGTAGAATCGTAACTTTCTGTGTGTCTCACGCTGTGATAGAGAAGCTATTAGGCTTTTGCCGTAGTCAGAGATTTATTGTAGCTAAGCAGGAGCCCTCTTATAAATCCCTTTGTAAATGGTACTTGACATGAAGTAAAGTTAAAACAAGAATGTTGATTTTATTGATTCCACCTCTTCCGCCGCTCAACGCTGTGCTCGCTGGTCATCCGAGTCATTCGCCACCATTCCATATCACCATTATAATATTTTGGACAGACAGCAGAGTATAGTTGAAACTTATTTTCTTAGAGACTCAGTTCTTAACTAAGAGAGGTTTGTTTCAACCTACTGTCCAGTCTCTCCTGTCAAATCTAAACCCCAGTTCTGGAGATTGTGAGTAAATGGAATTCAGCTAGGGCTGACACTTACACTTTAAGTTCTAATTTCTGAACTTTTCCTCAAATGTGTTGGTACACAGTAAGGGCAAGTGGTTGTGTCCCTTCACTTCCCAAGCAAACGTTGTCTATTTTCCTCAGACTGACGCACACACTCCCCCTGACTGGCTACTGCCAGGTCAAAGTCCAAAGGGCAACTGACTTACTCTAACAAGACTGACAGGACTTTTGAAAGCTCGCCTCAGCTGGTGCTGACCAATCAGAGAGAAGGGTGTGTGTGCACACAGGCAGTAACCTGTCAGTCAAACTGTGCTTTACAGTGAGGCATCAAACCCTAATCTCCCAGTTCTCTGCTTTTGATGCAATAGCATCTGGTAAGAGAAGCAGGAAAAACACAGAAGGAGGGTAGAACACGAGAGCTCAGTGCCTGTTTGATTTTTGTTCATGTTTAAGGCAATCTGAATGCATTGCACAATTTTGCCAGTGTGCTTGCGTACAATGCCACTTATGAAACTTGCTTTGCGATTTTAGGAAAAGCAGCTTCTACGGATGATGATGTCCAGAAGGCTGATGTGTCTTCAACAGGTCAAGGTGTTATTGACAAGGATTCCTTGGGACCTCTTTTATTACAGGCAAGCTTGGAGGATATTCTGTCTTTGTACTGCTAGATGAGAACAACGTATATTGCAGTGACACCGAATCACTTGATAAACACCAATTCTACAAGTGTACATAAACGTTGAAACAACACACTTCTCTCCCTTTCTCCTGTAATAAAAATATATTAGCATGTGACTTGTGAAGATGACTGATATAATTACAGTAGAACTCTTTAAGCATTAGAAATGTGATTCTTCCCTACCTAGGCACAGTATCCAAACGTGAAATGACCCTCATACAGTGTGTGTCCCCCCCACCCCCTGACAGATGTAATATTGACATGAGGGCCAGTATGATAGATGAAGAACTATGTGAGAAATTCTAGACTAATTGGATGTTAAAGGGCTGAACAGAGAGGTGGGAGACATACATAGCCTTCCCTACCCTCTTTAAAAGCCTAGAATTCTTGACAGTATATCCATCCATCCCAGGATGAGAAAAGTACTTTTATGCTGCCTCCATCTGCTTTGCTAGAGTGGATTACTCTAGTGTGTTCTGCACAGAGATGCCTGTTACAGATTGATGGTGGGAAGTGCCGTCAAGTCACAGCCAATGTACGGTGGCCCTGTAGGGTGTTCAAGGCAAGAGACATTCAGAGGTGGCTTGCCATTGCCTGCCTCTGTGTAGTGACCCTGGGCTTCCTTGGTGGCCTCCCATCCAAATAATAACCAGGGCTGATGCTGCTTAGCTTTTGAAATCTGATAAGATCAGGCTAGCCTGGGCCATCCAGGTCAGGACAAAGGTTGGTTAGCACTTTCCATTGTGCATTTAAATTTCAAGTTTGGAACTTTATCTAAAATGCAGTGGCCAGAATTTTAGGTGGTGCAGATGGTAGATTTGTGTGTTGTCATTTTTCTTTGCTGGATGTGATTCCAGGTGTTCATTTTTACTGATAAAACCTGCTCATGTCAAGCACTGACCAATGTCCAGTTATAGATGTGGAGTCGTGTGAGCAAAAATTCCACTTTGTGAGCTACTGGCATCAAAGTTGTGAGTGAGCAATTTGACTACTGCATAAATTAGTCTGCTCTGGAGCCATCCTTTCTGAGCTAAGACAAAAATCTGTGAGCCGGAGGCTAAAAAACTGTGAGCTAGCTCACACTAACTCAGCTTAGAGGGAACACTGGCACTGACTCATCTTTATATTTCTCCCTGCATATTGAAATTGTCTGAGCAGGTTCTTTTGTGAATACCCTTTTTATTTGACATGTCAGAGGGTGGCTCTAAGATAACAGAGCCTTGGTAGTATTGCCCTGAGAGGCTTTCTTGGAATCCTCTCTTTTGGCCTTTATAAACAGGTAAATAGATAGTTTCTGATTTCAGAAAGCTTTTAATTGATTTGGGTTTAAACTGAAGTACTGCCATGTTAGTATATTAGCGCTTGTTACAGTAGATTTTGTGTCTTATCGATTGTGATGTGTTAAATCTTCTTATCCTTTGTCCCTGTTTTCCTTTTGTAGAAGTAATACTACTACACTAGAAGGAGCTGGGCTGTATCAGACTGAATTAAAACTTTACTGTAGCCCTTCACATGACTGAATGTAGTAGAATTAAACTGTGCACAATAGTACAAATTACAGAACAAATTATGCAAAATGAGAGAAATAATGCAGATATCTATAACTTGTGCAGCTTATGCCGTTTGCAGCAATCAACTTTTTTCTAATACAATATTTGGATTATTTTAGTGGATGAGAACATTAAAAAAAACATGATTGTATCCTGCCAACCACCCACACAGCGTCTTGGCAGATACTGATCTTCCCCGCTTCCCTCCATCATCCATAGCCCAATTTAACATCCCCTTGAGGAGAAAAAAAGGGAAGACAGCTGGTGGTGGTGGTTGTGGGATCTGCATAGACAAAAAAAGCCACATGACTGAGGAGACTGCAATGAGGCAGGGAAATTGGGCAAAATCATCCCCCCTCTGATGCTCTACTGATGGAAGAGGGATGAAAATCCAACCCTTTCCTCCACCTCATTGTAACTCTTGAACTGGTATGCCTTTGTTCATCCGGGTTGCACATTTTCTGGTATCAGTGTTTCGGGGAGTAAAAAGGGCTGTTTGGGGAGTGTGGAGTGCATACTCTGAATCACATCCTGCTTCAGAGGAACATGACTGCAGCATAAGGCCATACACCTATTGCTGTGCTTGCAGTTCTGAGAGAGCCAGTAGAGCTGAAGGACAGAAGATCTCGATCTCTGCCATCTGTCAGGTGGGACAGGAAGGGAGGGAAGGAGCACTTAGACTTCCTTCCCTTTGCCTAATAGTGAGATGCTTCAGCTGGGAGCTGTTCTGAGTGCCCCCCTTCCTTAAGAGATGCCAAGGCTAGATGTGAAAGTGTGCTGGTTCAGTGTTCACCCATTCTCCTGTGTTATTCCTAAAGATTCTTGCTCAGAAACCTCTCTCTTTTTATGTATCTGTGCGCCACCTTGTGTCTTGATGACATAGTACCATCATCTTATTTCTAGGCACTGGATGGCTTCTTATTCGTAGTCAATCGAGATGGGAACATTGTGTTTGTATCAGAAAACGTTACTCAGTATTTGCAATACAAACAAGAGGACCTGGTTAACACAAGTGTTTACAATATCTTGCATGAAGAGGATCGGAAGGATTTTCTTAAAAATTTACCAAAATCTGCAGGTAATAAAGCTGTTAGTGGTCAATTTTTGCTTTAAAAAAAGAAAGAAAAAAAGAATATATTTAGGTTAAGCATTGTGCAAAGCATTCATGTTTAAGCTTTATAATTATTTGTTTTATTAAATTAAGCAAAATTATCGATCTTTTCCAGTTACCTTTCACATTATGCCTTTTAATGGGGAAAATTCATTGACAAATTTATTTTTAAAATATAAAGTAAAATCTAGCATTGTGATTGAATTACTTGCTGTTCACTTGCATATATCTAGTGAACTCGAATTTCTGTAACTTCACCTATCATTCCACACCTTGTTTAACAAGAAGTTAAAAGGCTTCCTTTTTACGTCTGGTGTAGAGGATCCTCTCTTCTTGAGTCAGAAGTTATTTTAAATCTTTGTGTTTTAGTGAATGGCGTTTCTTGGACCAATGAAGCACCTAGACAGAAGAGTCATACATTTAACTGTCGCATGCTGGTGAAAACCATGCATGATGTTCTGGAGGATGTAGGGAACAACCAGGAGTCACAACAGAGATTTGAAACCATGCAGTGTTTTGCTTTGTCTCAGCCAAGAGCTATGATGGAAGAAGGAGAAGGTAATGGCAAGTGACTGATTTGCTTCTGTGAGTTTTGATCAATATGCGTAACTTACACTATAGTATGTGGGATTGAGCTGATCTCCACTTTGTGCCTTAGTAACTAAGAATATTTGTTAAGGCCCTAGTTTTAAACAATAAAATATCTGTGATACACATGGAACAACAGTATGTTTTTAATTGCAGATTTGCAGTCCTGTATGATATGTGTGGCCCGTCGTATTTCTGCCGTGGAAAGGGTGTTTTCACCAAACACAGAGAGCTTTATTACTAGGCATGATCTTTCAGGTGAGGAACCTCTGTGGAGAATATACCTTCATTCCTAAATACAGCAAAGCATGTTTCATAAAACAGATCTAGTCTTAATATGACTTGCTGGTATTTTAAAAGTTTTTGTACTGTTGACTTGCTCAGGATTTCTCTAGCCCAAAGGCTTGGATCAGGCAACAAACTCACTTTCTGACTTTCTCCCTAGATGTGTAGAGGATACCATTATTGTACTTTTCTGCTCACTGAGTGTTTTAAACTGCATGTACCTGGCTTGCCTTATACTTCTGGGCCTTAATGCAGGGATAGTTTGTTTGTGTGTGTCTGTCTACAAACAGCTTGCCTAGGTCCAGTTCATGTGATGTGGCCAATTTCCCCAGCCTCAGCTTCATCGTTTGGGCCAAATTCCACTTTATGTGATTTAAGTATATTCTGTTGAAGCTGATGTGCATATCCGGGGTAGAAAGGTATGACTTTGCTCTTCATTGCACAAAGGGAGAAGCTTGGGGAGACTTGCAGAGACTGGCCAAAGCTGTTAGGTAATCTTTGCCCCGTTTCCTGGCTTAATCAGTAAAAGATCTTAAGAGCGGGGCCTGGAAGTATAAGATTGTAGGCTTTATCTAGCCTGACAGTTTTCCCCTGATACCTGTACTGCTTTGTTTGGTAAGTTGCTTATATACAGGTCATTATGGCAGTAAAGGGGGAATACTTTTCCGTGGTAAAATCTTGGTGGCTTGGATGTTTATATTTTTCGAACTGTTTATATATGGATTTTAATCTCTTTCAATATCATGCACATTTTTCTTCCCTTGACAGGTAAACTGGTTAACATAGATACAAACTCCCTAAGGTCTATGAGACCTGGATTTGAAGATACAATCCGCCGTTGCATTCAGAGATTTTTATGTGCAAATGAAGGACAGCCATGGTCAAATAAACGCCACTATCAAGAAGGTAATACTTTTCTATGTAAAGAATATCATGCTTGTTTTCATATCTAGAAGTCTTAAATTAACAAAGCTGATTGGGAAACTTGAAGAACTTGATTGGCAGTATCTTTTAATCGATGCTTAAGAAAGTCTGTTTTCTCATGTTTTGGGCTTCATGCCTTCACTCCCATTTACCTGTAGCAATCAGGTAGTCAGTATCTTTGGTTGCCATCTATTGAAGTCTTTTTGATGGCTTATTTTAGCATACTCCCTTTGGTGGAACATCATGGCAGGTTTGCTGAGATTCCCCTGGGAGCACAGACCATGCGTATGACATTTGGAGCCAATCTCCCACTTCTTTTCCTGCAAGGTATATGCCAAACCCAGAGCTTTCTTGCTTGCTCTGGTTCTGCCATTTTTTAACATCCTTTCAGGTAATGGTAGAAAGGTCACAGAATCTGCTGCTAAATACTCTTGGGCAGCTTTGAGTATTTGCACCAAAGTATGGTTGTCTGCAGGATAGATTTCAATTTTAATTTTTTTAAGTAAACAAAATGCTTAAAACATACATTGCTCTGTACTTATACGTTGTTTTTATATAATGTATTGTGTATCTCAATGCAGTCATGTAGTCTTCGTATGTAATAGAGACTCAGTGGCTGCATTTTGAAAGTCCAACAGCCAGTGGGCTTTTTTGGGGCACCATCTTGGAATAAACTGAATGGAAGACATCCAGGAGTAATTTAAAATTAATTGCATTGAATGGCTATAGTAACAGATGCATTTACAGGAAAAGCAATTTGTATAGGGCCTAGTGTATTGATAGCAACAACACAGCTAAATATCAATATTGATATTGTTTTGATATTAGTAAATACGTGACAGAGTGGGATGAAAGTGGCTGAACAGCTGTGAAGGTGTATTCATATAGAGAATCCAGCATTGTGTAGCAGCTAGACCATCAAACTAGGATCTGAAAGACTCCAGGTTTGAATCCTCACTCTGCCATGGAAGCTTGCTGGGTGTTCAGTTTTTAATGTTAAAATATCAGTGCAACAGTTTTGTATCCCCTCCCCCGCAATGTTTCATTTCTCATTGAGGATATTTTGGGAAGAAATGAGTGATGGTGCTGTCAGTTATGTTTTCCTGGTTTCTGCAATGTGTAATTTGCGGTGCCTACAGTTTTTGTTCTTCCCAACAGCTTATCTTCAGGGTCACTCCGAAACTCCCCTCTATCGGTTCTCCTTAGCAGATGGAACACTAGTGACAGCACAAACCAAAAGTAAATTGTTCCGAAACCCAGTTACCAGTGACAGGCATGGATATATATCCACCCATTTCCTTCAAAGGTGAGATTTATAATCTTAGTTCTAAAATAACAACGTGTGTTTCATTACATTTAAGAGCTGTTAATGTCTAAAAGGTGTTACGAGGTATATTGGATAGTAACTGGTTTAAGTGGTGAAAAGTAAATTAATCGTTTGTTAGATATGCCTGAACAATGTTAAAATGTAGTATCTTCCTCTGTTGGGTTTAAATTGTATCGTATGAACAGCCATCTGCTCCTTTTTCATTTGTACAGGTTCTGATTTTCAGTGTCACCTTAAGACACACGTATCTTAACTCGGATAAAGTTGCCTTGCAGCAAGTCAGACCTTTGGTCCCTCTAGTTTAGTATTACCTATTCCAGTGTTTGGGAAGAGTAAGAAAGAAGTGGATACAACAGCCTTTGTTTCCATCTTTCTTTTAAGGCAATAAGCTTAGATCCAAAGATTTCCATGTGTGAGTGGAAAGCACTTCTGCTCATGTGGTGGTGGTGGTGGTGGTGGGATTGGTCCTGTGACTTCTGTAGTTTTCCTCCTTGAGCTGCAGCCTGCTGTTCCGTGCCCAGCTCCATTCTCTCCTAGACAGCTGGGGCTGTCTTGTTGCTTGGACCAGGACTTCAGAACCCCTTCCTGCAAGGTGTACATCAGGGGTCTCTTTTGGATGTATAGGCATGCAATGAGACCATCCTTTTTTGGAATGAATTTGTACTGAAGGGATGATGATGATGATGACAGTGTCTACTGCCGATTTTTGTTTTTAGTCTTCAGTTTCTATGCTGGAAGTTGACTGTGTTCGCTTTCTGTGCTTTCAGTATTTTCTTGATGGTTTTTGTATTTGTTTTAAAAACTTTGCTGTAACAGCAAGACGGGTTTTAAAGTACTGTATTTTGCATTTTAAATCACTCCGCTTAGTTCTTGTTCATGTTAACAGAAAAAACATAAACAGGCTTTAGAAGAAGACACTACAGCTTGATGGTAAATTCCTTGTCAAGCAAGTTATTCCATAAGGAAGGATTGTATGTGGCAGCACTGCTGTTGCTGGTGTGAATTATATAAAATGTTGAATAATGGAAGAAAAGATAAGGGTAATGTTGTTAAATCTACTCTTTGTGGAGATCAGTTTCTTGTACTGTCTGTGTGTAACTTTCAGAGAACAAAATGGATATCGACCAAACCCCAGTACAATGGGACAGAACATCAGAGCATCTTCAACGGGGAACACGAATTCAGTCAGTGGTGTGATGAACATGTCACCAGGGCAAAACATGCCTATGCAGAATAGGAACTACGGCATGGGAGATCCCAATTTAATGGGACAGGTGGGCAGTGTTAGATACGGAGGTCCTGGAAATATGGGATCAATGAACCCTGGACAACCCATGCAGCCTTCTCCTTATCAGAGCAATAACTATGGATTAAATATGAGCAGTCCGCCGCATGGCAGCCCAGGCTTGAATTCCAGTCAGCAGAATTTAATGGTATCGCCTAGGAATCGTGGGAGCCCAAAAGTGAATTCACACCAATTTTCCCCTGTAGCAGGTAACTCTTTCTTGTAAAATATATAGATAATTTACTTTTTTCCTCTTTGTCTTCAGAGCCTGAAATTCAGTGTGATTCTTCCGTTCACCATGAAAAACAGTAGCATTCAGGAAGTATGAAAGGCGGTTTTGTACTTGGCTTTGTGAAAACCAATAAGACTCTTGAGCAGTGTTCCCTCTAAGCTATGGAGCCCAGTGAGCAAAAATTCTACTTTGTGAGCTACGGGCATTAAAGTTGTGAGCAAGCGATTCGGCTACTGCGTAAATTAGTTTGCTCTGGAGCCCTCCTTCCTGAGCTAAGAGAAAAATCTGTGAGCCGGAGGCTAAAAAACAGTGCGCTAGCTCACACTAACTCAGCTTAGAGGGAACACTGCTCCTGAGGCATTTTTATTCCTGCAAAAGCTTTCATGAACTAGAGTTTGCTTTGTCAGATACAAATAAAGCTTATGATGGAACAATAATTAAGGTCTCTAAGGTGCCTAAGACTCTTGCTTGTGTTTGCTGCAATAAACTTAACTGGCCTGTCCTCCGGACTGTTTTTTTAAAGGCGGCAATTCACAATGTTCATAGTTAAACTGTTCATTAAAATGTGGTGCTTCATTGAAAAGTGCCACTTTAGAGGCAAGTCCCCTCGAGCATTAATTCTGTTCTTTTCCATAGGTGTGCACTCTCCAATGGGATCCGCCAGCAACACAAGCAGCAGCAACTTTTCAAGCAGCTCGCTCAGTGCTCTTCAGGCCATTAGTGAGGGGGTTGGGACTTCCCTTCTGTCTACACTTTCTTCACCAGGACCTAGACTAGATAATTCTCCAAATATGAACGTTGCTCAGCCAAATAAAATGGGGAGCCAGGAATCCAAAAGCCCTCCTGGGTTGTTTTGTGAACAAAATCAAGTGGAGAGTTCAATGTGTCAGTCAATCAACAGGGAGCCCCTTGGTAACAAAGATATCAAAGAGGAGAACCTCGAAGGTTCAGAGCAAAGGGGACCCCCTGAGAGCAAAGGCCATAAAAAGCTGCTTCAGTTACTAACTTGTTCCTCAGAGGAGAGAGGGCATTCAGCACTGTCAAACTCCCCCTTGGACTCCAGTTGCAAAGAACCGCCTACGAATGCCACGAGCCCTTCATCGGGCGTTTCCTCCTCTACATCAGGAGGAGTGTCGTCTTCATCCAACATGCAAGAGAAGCATAGGATTTTACACAAGTTGTTGAGGAATGGTAATTCTCCGGCCGAGGTGGCCAAAATCACAGCAGAAGCCACTGGTAAAGATACCTACCATGACAGCAGCAGCTCAGCTTCCTGCGGTGAAGGAGCAATCAAACAGGAACAGCTGAGTCCAAAAAAGAAAGAGAACCATGCTCTGCTGAGGTATTTGCTTGACAAGGATGACGGAAAGGATCTCTCGAAAGAGATAAAACCTAAAATAGAAAGTATGGACAGCAAAATGGGACAGTGCAGTAGTTCTGCGATGCCTACTTCGAGCCAAGAGAAAGAGATGAAAATAAAAACAGAGCCCACAGAAGAGGTAGTGTCCTGATCTTGTGTAAAAATTTAGTTATTAGGCTTGTTAGCAATTTCCCACGTGCATAATTTCTTGAAATGAAAGGGTTGCGCTTTCACCCAGCAGTGTGCAAATGGAAACTCAGGCCCTGGTCACACGAATGGTTTTGGGCCGGGAGAGGGACGGATCGGGGGTGCAGCAAAAGGGTGCGATCCCAACGCAACATCTAGGAGGCGGTGCGCACCCGTCCCCGATCCGGCCCTTCGCCCGAAAAGCCGCAGCAAAAATAAACCACCTACCGAGGTGGTTTTTCCAGCACGCCACATAAAAGCCTGGCCGTGGGATCGCCGGCGCGTCCTTCTGCTGGCGCATCCCCGGCTCCTGGCTGAACTGTGCATGCTCAGACATGCGCAGTTCGGCAGTCTCCCTTTCCCCACCGTGGCTTCCCCCGGTATCTGATCCTGCCGGGGAGGGAATGCGCCGCAGCTCGGGATCAATGTGATCCCGCCGCCGCGTGTTTCTTTTGGTGGGCTTTATAAAGCCGCATTTTCGCCCGTTCCTTTCCCCCCATGTGGCAGGGACCATAAATGGACTTTTGTGCAGTTCTGCTTGCACAAGATCCTGTGCGATTCCTAGTGCGGGGGTCCCCAACATGGTGCTCTTGGGCTCCATGGCACTTGCCAGCATCTTTTCCGATGCTTGCCAAGTCTTTATAGGGAGTTCGGCAGGGCCAGGTTTTTGCCAGCAGGGCTTTTGATTAACTGTTGGAGATTTGATTGTGGTGGCCATTTTGTGGCAGCCATTTTGTTATTGCTCCCATTGTGCTGTGTCAGAATTCCAAATGTGCCCACAGGATCAAAAAGGTTCAGGATTCCTGACCTAGTGCTTTCCTCCTCCCTGTATATTACAGTGCCAAGAAATTGGTTGCAGAAGAGCTTGCGGAAATGCAAGTGGAGATACAGTAAGTTAGATTTGGCACAAGCAGCTGCCAGTCTTTTTCTTGTATTTCCACTCAAACAAGAGCTCTAGCACAAGTGGGAATTTTCCGCTGGATCTAACCCCATTGTGCTCAAACACTAACCTCTGCTGATCTGAAATTCAAACTGTGCTGTAGCAAAACCATTTTAAATGATGTTTAAATATAACATTACTTTTCAGAGTGTAACTTCATGATTAGTAGTTAACCTTACTGTTGAGGACCTTCAGCTGCAGGTATAATTTTAAATTGGAAGCTTTTAGTGCACAGGCAAAATGAGATCCTGGTCAGTTAATCATTTTTAAGTTTTATCAGTTGATTTGATCTGCATAAATTTGCATTTGAACAAAACGGTTATGAAGAAAAAAGCATTCTTTGTTTTAAGATGATGCATCTACATATCACAGCAGGCACCTTCTCAGAAGAGGCATCCTTTCTCCTTAGCAGCTGCCTGCCACCCGTGGATTTGTAAAAAAACTATTATCTCAGTTTTTAAAAGTCTGCTGGCAAGTTAACTTGGGGGTATCTTTTTAAATGCATATTTAAAGTTCGTTGATGGATCCCTAATTCCCTAATCAAATGAGTACAGAGTGCCAAACTAAAAATCCAGTTGTTGCCTCCTCCCAAAACAGTAAATAACCCTAACTGCCTGAACGGTTACATGGTTTTCATATAGTTCTTTTGAGCCAGCAGGAAGTTTCAAAGACATCACAGTTTATGGCCCATGTCAGTTTGAAAGTACCGAAATGGAATGAAATTTTGTTGTAAATAGTTTTTTCTTCCCCTCCTTTTCAGATGAGTGGAGATTTGGTCGATAATTTAGATGCAATTTTGGGTGACCTGAGCAGCTCAGAGTTTTGCAGTAATCCCATGTCTATGAATGGGAATAATATGGGGAACAAGCAGCTGATGTGTCAAGGAAATCCACCTCTGGGTAAGTATGTGTTAAGCAAATATCCTTCCATTTCAGATAGTATCCCTTGTGCGGACCTCGTGAGATGAACTTTTAATTTTCCATAACATACATTTAAAGGGCTATATGTGTATTATTGTAGACCAGAATTATCAGACAAATTTATGATGTATTTTGCAATATCTGCAGAGTGAACATTGGTAGGGTTGAGCCTTTTAAGATTTTGTGTTGATGTGACAAACTTTGGTCGATAACCAAGCTGCATGAAGAATTTCTGGAAAATTTAATCAGATCTTTTAAAAAGCACTTCTCATCGTAGTATCCAGTAGAGACTTATTTGTTCAAGGCTATAAACGTCTATTCCCAGTAGTCATGTATGGCTGCGAGAGTTGGACTATAAGGAAGGCCGAGCGCCGAAGAATAGATTCTTTTGAACTATGGGTCTGGAGAAGACTCTTGAGAGTCCCTTGGACTGCAAGAAGATCAAATCAGTCAATCCTAAAAGAAATCAACCCTGACTGTTCCCTGGAAGGCCAGATAATGAAACTGAAGCTCAAATACTTTGGCCACCAAATGAGAAGGGAGCACTCACTGGAGAAGACCCTGATGCTGGGTCAAAGAAGACGGGGACGGCAAAGGATGAGATGGTTAGACAGTGTCATAGATGCAACGAACATGAAGCTGAGCGAACCTCAGAGGACGGCGGAAGACCGGAAGGCCTGGCGTGATCTGGTCCATGGGGTTGCGAAGAGTCGGACTCGACTGTGCGACTGAACAACAACAACAAATAAACGTCTATAGTGTTCTTAAATGTTTAGCATAAATGTTTAGCAAACATCCATGCAGTAGCTTAGTTTCTTTGTAAGTTTAAAGATACTACAGTTGCAAATAAATTTTTAATTCTTCAACAGGTATGAGAAGTCCGCAATCTGTGCAGCCCACCCGTCCTCCTTTCAACAGAGCCATGTCTTTAGACAGTCCCGTGTCTGTGGGCTCAAGCCCATCTGCAAGAAACGTCAATGCATTTTCCATGTTACAAAAGCAAAGCATGATGGGTGGAAGTCCAAGAATGATTGAGAACCAGGAAAACTTTGGAGCGAATATGGGTTTGTTCATATCAATAGCCTTTTGTTTTACCTGAAAAGCTCTGAAGGCTTTAGACTTAAAAGCAGATTTTTATTATTTATTTATTTTTTTATTTTACTTTTTGGATTTATATCCCGCCCTCCCCGACGGCTCGGGGTGGCTAACAACGAGGCACAAGTGCCAGAATTAAAACAGATAAAACAGTCTAAAACAGTAAAACGATATAATACAACAACAAAGTGTCAGCGCAAGATGTGGTAGATCTTAGTCGAATGGCATTGGTTGTAGTGTGAAAGAATGGATCATACAATATTTCAACATTCTAGTTTAAAAAGATGGACCAGCTGTTAGCTACAAGAATAGTTGTCAGGATTTGATTGTGCTAACCTGTTTTTGGCCGAGGTTCTTATTGAGCTAGTTCAGTTCGCATGTTAAAAACTAATTCAAGGTTTTCATGGGAGAGGCCAGTGAAATGGAATCAAACCATACTTGGCACAAACACCTTAGGTTGGAAAGCCACATCAAACTGTATGGTTTGCTTAATTGTCTGCATTTCCAAACCACAGCCTGAGCAGGCAGAAGATGAGAGCAGACGGCACATACATTTCGAAGCTCAAACTATGGCTTTGGCAAGAGGTTTGAACAGAGCCCTTGTCACGTGGCTGAACAATGGCAAAGACCATATCCTGTGCATGTTTGTGTGCTGTACTTAATCTCAGCTGAATTTTGATTATCTAATTTATATTTAACAGGCAAAAGATGAAAAATATATGGCTGGGATCCAAAGTAGCCCGTATGAGCGTATGGGGAAATAGTGGTTTGTGGATTTTTACTCTTGTAGTAAGCCCATGCTGCTCCAAATGGGGTGTCCCAGACCTCGGGGGCTGTTTCCGGAATTTGGATGTGGCAAAGCCCAGCGCATGTGGCCCTTTTTTTGGGGGGGGGGAAATAAAACAAAAACAATTGTTGTACCAAAGTGTGACTTGTATTTTTAAAGAGAAAATAATCTACGTGCTCTTTTTTCATAGGTGGCTCAAACAGAAATATGTCTATGAATCAGAATTCAGGAGGTGACTGGAGCCTGCAGAACCCAAAGGTTAGTAGGATGGAACCTACGAGTTCGGCTCCAGTGGCACGGCCAGGACCAGACTGCAACCCAACACTTTCCAGATCTACAATGGGAGGGTCCATGCCTGGTTTGCCCATGAGATCAAACAGTATGCCTGGTACCAGATCTATGCTCCAACAACAGATGATCCATATGAGTAAGTGTTTATGTGAGAAGTGCTGCACTGGTTATTATTACTGTATTTAGTAACCAATATCTGGCATCTACATGGATAGTCAAATTCATCCAGTAATACCAGTCATGGCTTTCATTTAGGATTCTGCATATCCCCATGTTTGTGCAAACCCCCCCACCCTTTAAAAAGACAAGCAAAAAGACAAACAGGGAATAAATTCAGCAAAAATGGAACTGCAAAAGTTGAACTGTGGAGTTCTGTTGGCATTTTGGGTTGCTGCAGCCTGGGCAACTGCTTCTTCACCAGCTTTGGCTGGTTTACCAGCTGTGGGATGTAGTCACTGCAACTCATGCGCTAATCATCTCCAGATTAGATTCATCTAATGTGCTCTATGTGGGTTTGCTTTCGAAAACAGTTTGAAAGAAGCTTGAACTACTTTGGAACATGGATGTCTGGGGTTAGTTTTCATCAGCACATCACCCCAATTTTAAATTCATCTATATTGGTTACCAGTTTGTTTCTGGGCCCCATTCAGAGTGCTGGTTTTGGCTTACATGATTTAGGACTGGGATATCTAAAGGACTGCCTCACCTGCTCTGGCCACCTGTTGTATAGGGTTGGTGTTACAACTAAGAGTGCACTAAAAATGATGAATGTTTTAGGTCCTGCGTTGATTTACCATGACTTTCTCTGTTCCCTGTTGCTTCGCTTAGAATTAGCAGGCGAAGCTTTTGTGGTGGGTAATACTGTCAGTTTCACCAGGTCAGAATATTAAGGATGTGGAAAGAAGTACCAGTTTACTTCCTGAGTTATGGAATTTTTTTCCCTCTTAGATGTCTGTTTGAATAGAAATTTGATTGCCATTTAAAGACAATGCAAACTGTATTTGTATGTACATCGCTAGATAAGCCACAGTAAGGGAAAGGCTGAATGAATGTGTATGATTAAAAAATAGGTTTTTACTGTCTTATTGTGATTCTTTATCACAGTGTTTATAGTACTGATGTGGTGATGGACTGTTGAATGGGGCTGAGCTGCAAATTTGTTTTGGAAGGGGTAGCATTTTGCTCCCACTTGCCTGGGTTTGCAGCCTGAGTTGACTGCTACACTGGTGCTGTCTCTCCCCCCCCCTTTAAAATAATTTCTTTTTGCTGCTGCAGCTCGTGAAGCCGTTGTTATGTAGCCAATAAGATTTGTTACGTGCTGTGCTGCCCTCACCAAGGGCAAACAGAGCCAGTTTGGTGTAGTGGTTAAGTGGGCGGACTCTAATCTGGGAGAACCGGGTTTGATTCCCCACTCCTCCACTTGCACCTGCTGATGTGACCTTGGGTCAGTCACAAGCTCTGGCACAGTTGTCCTTGAAAAAGAGCAGTTTGTGTCAGAGTTCTCTCAGCCCCCACCTACTTCACAGGGTGTCTGTTGTGGGGAGGGGAAGGGAGAGGAGTTTGTAAGCCGCTCTGAGACTCCAAGTGAAGGGCGGGGTATAAATCCAATCTCTTCTCTTCTTCTTCAAATGCCTTTGCATTTTTGCCTTATGGTTTGCTTGTCCTCAGCAACATTGGCACGTAGCCAAATCATAGCTGCAGAGTGGCTCCATTTTGGAGTGGTACCATCAGTGTGCTGTGTTGTAGCTGTAGCTTCCAACTCCCCAGGAAGTAGTGGGGTTGAGAAAGAGAGTCTCTTTTAGGAGGGTGGAAACTTATGCTTATGTGTATGGGAGTGGAGACTATCCAGATATTTTTGGTTTGCCATTTGGATGACTGCTGAAGGGCTGGGGATTGCAAATGTTCCACTGGATGTTTACTCTCCCCACCCCTTTGACCTCCATTTCTCCTGTTGGTCATTTTTTGTACAGTCTGTGGAGTAAACATCTCCCTGCCTAGCAAAATGGACTCTGGAAATAAGTATGTGTTTTCTGTTTTTTGTGTTTTTTTTTAAAGGACCAAATGATATTAATATTGGTATGGCAGGGAATCCTTATGCTCATCCAGGACCATCTACCCAGTCAAGTTCATGGCCAGAAAACATGTTATCTATGGAGCAAGGACCTCGAGGCTCACAAACAAGGTACAGTGACATTCAGAACAAGATGGATGGTTAACTGGCTACCAGTTTATTATTTGGCCTCTATCTGTATTGTTAAAATACTTGACCAGGCCAAACCATCATAAAATGGTTGAAAAGGCATATGTTAAGTTGTTATAAAGTCTTCAGCTGTGTGACAATGTACCAATGTAATGAATTTAGGCAAAGGCTCAACTTTTATTTTGGGTCATGTTTGTTTGTTGTATCTGTAGTCTGCCTTTCTCTCTGAGAACCACAGTAGACTACACAGTGCCTGTCAATGCAATCAATAGAATTTGATATCTAGCAAGCAGTGCAGTTGGAGTAGTACAGAAACAAAGCGCTAAGTATTAAACAGTGCAGAAAACTGTGTCACACAAGTTTAAAAACAGTGCCACGAGAGTAGGGTAATACATACATACAGCAAACAGATAATGCATACTAAATGCAGTAGTGCAGTTCACAGCCCCACTTCCTTTATCAAAACTCCCTTGTGAACCATTCCGTTATAATATAGCCGTATTACTTTTATAAAAATGCCCTCCTTCTGTTTATATAGTTTCCAGAAGGACAGACATGTGGGAACCTTCCCGTCCTCCTCAGACGGGCCATTCTATGACGTGGTGATGGTGGGGGCAAAACTGAGAATGCACACGTAAGGGCAGTTGTTGATCTTGTGCATGTGTAGGGTGGGTGGCACGCTGCTTGGATAAGTGAAGCTGTTGTGGCAGAGCATAGGAAGCACACTTAAGTAGATTGAGTCCCCTGTTCTTTGGAAATGTATTGGGAATTGTGATGCAATTTGCTTTACTTGAGGGTATTCTGACCTTCTAGAGTGCTCTGGGAACTCTTCGACTGTACAAGTAGGTTGAGTCCTTTGCGTTGATATTGACTTGCATTGTCCGCAGCCAGATAAGCATGCCGCTATTACTTGCTTGCTATGATCGTTGCCAGTATTAAAGATGGAAGAGAGGGTGGCAGCACCCCAACACTGCTATAAAGCAGGCTATTAAAGATGCACAGGAGATACAGTGAACCTCCAAAATATTCAAAACCTCCTAATTGTACAGCCCAAGATCCACTGAATTCTGAATTATTTTAGAGTTCACTAGATCTATGTGCTTTCAATAGTCCGCCTTTAAAGGAAAAGGTACCTACAATGAAACAAAATCAGATGAAGAGTGGGGAGAGTAAGGGGCTCATGGTGATTTAGCGTGGTTAATATCCCAGTACTGGCTAGGTGAAGAGATTTTTGTTTTAAATTCTGCCTGCTTCCCAGATGATATTGTCCATATCTCACTGCTGTAGATAGCACTTTTACGAAGTAGGAAAATGCACTGTCTCTGAGAGTGAAGAGCTGGATAACCGATAACATCACATTTCAGTAACTTCCCAATTGTAACATTTTGGTTTTTCTAGGCCGTTAGTTAGAAATACTTTGGATGATTTCTTATATAATGTTCCAACTGTTGATGGCCAAAGTGATGAAAGGGCTCTTCTAGACCAGCTGCACATGTTGCTGAGTAATACAGATGTCAACAGCCTGGAAGAAATTGATAGAGCCTTAGGGATTCCTGATCTTGTAAATCAAGTAAGTCACCAGTGGACATGAGGTCTTTATTTGCCAGATCTTTCTGGGGTGGGGCAAGGGGTCTTGACCTTAGCATACTTCATGCAATAGTTTACATCCGTATATTCTGTTCTCTGAGTAAGAGATTTGGTGTTATATAACACAGGGGCTGTCAAGCTGAACACAGCCCTGCGAGGTATTATGATCTGCCAGATGTTTGACAGCTGGCAGTCCCAGGCAAACAGCAATAGCAGGTTGAACGAACTCCTGATGGGCTGCCATATATTAATGGCAGGCTATGCTCAGCTTACTAGATCACAAGTTAGGTGGACATTGCATGCTATAAGCAAGTTACTTCTGTGTTATCTTTTTAAAAAAGGCATGGGGAGAATGGGGTATTTTCTAATGCATCTCAAGTTCACATCTTCTTTATTTAAAGGGACAAGCTTTGGAACCCAAGCAAGAATCATTTCATGGCCAAGAAACTACAGTAATGATTGACCAGAAGCCTCCCATGTATGGTCAGCCCTACCAGGGACAGGGTGCAGTAATGCCAGGGGGTTTTACCGCCATTCAAGGCCAACAGGCATCCTTTAACTCTATGATGAATCAAATGAACCAACAGAACAATTTCCCAATGCAAAGTATGCATCCCAGAGCCAGCATGATGAGGCCCAGAACTAACACGCCAAAGCAACTCCGCATGCAACTCCAGCAGAGGCTTCAAGGGCAGCAGGTAACCTTTTCCCCCCTCATTACAGAGCAAACTAGTGAACTGCATCACCTAAGCTGAAGCACACTGTTTACTTCCTTTTATCCCAGCATTCCATTCCCTGCACGAAAGCCATTTTGTATACCCAGTGTGGCATCCGTTGCAAGGATCCTGGAAGGACCATATGAAGATTGCCTATCTTTTCGCTTTCTCCTTCTTCATCTCCAGCCCTTGGAAAGTTAATTCCCAGGGTGACGAAACAAGGCCCATTTGGAATGACAGCCAAGCAGGTCAAGAGGCAGCATTGTGGAGAGAGAAAGGCGTGAAATAACTCTTTCTTTCTCTCCTGTCAGTGAAGCTCTTCTCACACAAGAGTCAGGAGGGAGCAATTTTGCTTTTCTCCCTCCTCCTTACTGCTCTGCCCTGTGAGTCACTGTTCTCTGTGAGTCCTGTGACCCCAGCAGTAATGTTTCCCCGGGTCAGAAATGGAGGGGGGGGGGAGAGAGAGACCGATGCAAGGAAGACTGGCAACTTGTCAGCGCCCTCTGCTGGATCTAGTCCCGTCTTTCTTATTTTCAGTTCTAGGACTACATCTGACATTATACACTCCTCCATGGGATTTTTGCCGCTCCCCCCCACCCCTGTCGAGCCACAGCTGACTTTATGGTGAACCTGGAGGGTTTTCAGGGCAAGAGATGTTCAGAGGTGGTTTGCCATTGCCTGCCTCTGCATCACGACCCTGGACTTCCTTGGTGGTCTTCAATCTAAATACTAATCAGAGCTGACCTCGCTTCCAAGATCTGAACTGATCCGGCAAGCCTGGGCTTTCCGGGTCAGGCCTATGGTTTTAGGATGATTAAAAAAACCACAGTAAACTTTTCCTAGTAATTTTATGTTGGGGTGAAGCAGTATTTTTTTGAGGGGAAATTGAAATATATGCAATAATTTTCTATCTAACCTAAACTTAATTTACTGGTGTAGCAACTTAAACTGCAAGCATTTATATCTTAGAACAGAAAAAATGATAATTGGCATATTGGTTGCCATATTGCATTTACAAGTATAAAAGCCTTCCTTTTCTATAAGCAAAATTGCATATAGTACTTGAGAAGGGAGCCACGAAATTCTGCACCTTGTGCTATCTTAGTGTATGTATCTTTGACCCATTTGAAAGTGGTGTGTGTGTGTGGGGGGAAATAAAATTTGAAATTAGAAAACAGATTTGTGGTAAACAAAGTTATGTGTGTTTGGACAGAAGCAGTCTTGTACAGTCAGAATTACAATAGGGCTATCAGCATGTTTCCCAAGATAAACTCTGAAAATGCTGAACTCCTTAACATATCAAACATATTATAGTATATTAATTGTTGGCAAAATTATTCACAGTTATAAAGATGTCTGAAAATATATTACATGTTGGAGTTATTTAATGCTGTAGAATGCTATACATCATACTTTATCTTTTGAGAGAGTAGATTCTTGAAAGCATCCCACCCATTCCAGACTGGTTTTTCAATCGTCCCCTAAATTTCACAGTTTTTCTATTGGGAAAAATAATTCATTCTAGGCCTTCACATCTCTAATACGAATTACCATTATCTAATGTAGATTGTATATTGTATTATACAAACATCATCATTGTTTTTTGTGAGTATTTGTGTTAGTGTGCATATGTGTGTATGCCTGGAAGTCATGGTTGACTTCTGATGACCCATAGTGGAGCTTGGATGTTTCAGAGAGGTGCCTTACTATTGCCTGCCTCTGCCAGTTTAGTGTAGTGGTTAAGTGCACGGACTCTACTCTGGGAGAACCGGGTTTGATTCCCCCACTCCTCCACTTGCACCTGGCTGGATGACCCTGGGTGAGCCATAGTTCTGGCACAGCTGTCCTTGAAAAAGAGCAGCTTCTGTCAGAGCTCTCTCAGCCCCGCCTACCTCACAGGGTGTCTGTTGTGGGGAGGGGAAGGGAAAGGAGTTTGTAAGCCACTCTGAGACACCTTTGGGTAGTGAAGGGCGGGGTGTAAATCCAATCTCTTCTTCTCTTCTTCTGCATCCCAGCCCTGGTATTCCTTGAAGGTCACCCTTCCAAGTAGTACTTGCCAGGGTTGGCCCTCCTTAGCTTCCAATATCTGATGAGATTGGGCTTGCCTGGGCCTGTACACATTTTGTGGAGTAAAATCTACTAGGGTTTTAAAATAATTCAGTTACTTAATTTGGAGTGGTATTTGCAGCATGTGTTTTGCAGAAATGCTTATTTTAAAGCAGTTATGTTACACAGTTTTCTCATTTTAAAGTTTTTAAATCAGGCTCGTCAAACGTTGGATATGAAAATGGAGACCTCCAACCCTGGTGGTGCATCGGTGATGAGACCTGTTATACCTCCCCAAATGGGGTCACCAGTGAGTCTTTATCATCTCTACAAACATCCATATCATAGCCGCATAGCAGCATTTTGGATACCCCTGTGCCATAGTCTTTGTACCACATGGTTGTCTCTTTCTCCTCACCACTTTTGTTATGTATCTCAGCCTTTCTGTGAATCTCTGAAAAGGTGTTCTAGCATTACTACATATCTGCTAGCTATTTTAACTTTTGTTTGTGCAGGTCACATGAAACCTCACTTGAAAGCCAGTGTGGTATAGTAATTAGAGTGTTGGAATAATTAAATAATTAAAACGTTTTAATATTTTTTGTGTGCGCCAACTTGGAGGCCCTGATTGGGTAGAAAGGTGGCATTAAAATGTTTTAAATATAGTAAATAGATTAAATGGATAGGCCAAAACTGACCAGGAGACTGTATCAGAAAAAGGCTCACTGGCTTATGGTCTGACCTGTGAGCATTCCAGAAATATTGAATTGCAAACTGCTAGTTTCTTGATGCTGGTCTAGTATTGTGATGCGTGCTAGTGCAACGATGCTAACCTATGCTTTACTGCAGATTCTGTTAAACTGGTTTATAAGAGAAATGTTTGTCTGTTACTGAACTTTCTAATATATACACTCTTTTGCTAGTTCTGAGCATTGTACACTTAAGAATTGTTGGTTTCATGATCTTAATAGTTTTTTTTTATCTTTGTTCTCCAATGTGGTTTTCAAAATATTTGGCTGCTAGCAGCAAAGCTTCCTTAATGCTCAGATGGTGGCTCAGCGAAACAGAGAGCTAATAAGTCACCACATCAGACAGCAAAGAATGGCAATGATGATTCAGCAGCAGCAGCAGCAGCAGCAGCAGCAACCTCAGGCCTTCAGTCCTCCTCCAAACGTAACAGCTTCAGGCAGCATGGATGGATCTGTTGCAGGCCCACCTATGGCTCCAGTCCCGCCCCAGCAGTTCTCGTACCCAACGAATTACGGTACTTGTGCCCCACTTTCACTTTTCTGCTGTTTCTTTCCATTCCTTGTGGATCCTGTTGGCCTACATCTTGTAACTCATATCAAGGATTTGGGATAATATACAACAATAAAGTACAAGGAGGATATATATATGTTGGGGTGAGAGGAGTAGGCAACATAGATGAGTTGACCTATTAGGTAGCCAACTGAGCTAAAGCAGCATTGTCAAAGTGCACACGTGTTGTACAATTGATGCTCTGTATCTGTCCATTCATTTCACATCTCAGTGGTTCCCCGTCACCTTGGCTGTGGGGTACTAGTTTGAATGATGGCATGCCATAGGCATTTCCAAACATGCTGGCATGCCATTCTTCTTCCCCTGCTGGGAAGATCTAATAGCTAACCTCAGTCCATTTACATTTGTAATTCAACATACAAATATACACATCTGTCCCAGTTCGCTTTATGTGAGACTGTAAAAAATTATTTTTAGCAAGAACGCTATTTAGTATCTCATAGCTGTAGTAACCAAGTTGAGTTTGGGAGTTGGGTTGGATGAGTGAAGTGAAGGACAGCAGAGATGTTTATTGATGGAAGGTATTCTGATAAGGTGGTGGATCTCCAAGGCATTCAGAAGGTATCCAAGGTGCAGTTTTCCTGAGTACCATCGCCTCTCTCCCAACAGTATCATTACTCTCTGGTCTCTGTTGCCTGTAAGTGGGTTCTAATAATAATAATATACTTTATTGTCATTGTACACAGTACAACGAAATTAAAAGTGCAATCATTTCAGTGATCCACAACCACACACACACACACATACACTCACACAACCATTCACAACCATCCCATAACTCCCTTAAGGTTCACATTGCAACTAAACCACCAATTCCACCCAAATTCCAACTTCATGCAGCATTTAAAGCAATAATAGCTCTCGAATAAAAACTGTTTTTTAATCTGTTTGTCCTTGTTTTAATTGTCCTATACCTTCTACCCGAAGGCAGCAGTTCAAACAAGGAATGTTCAGGGTGTGACAAATCCTGCAAAATGTTCTTTGCTTTTTTCAAGCATCGAGAACTATACAATTCCTCCAGGAGCGGGAGAGGACAGCCAATAATC